AAATACTACAATTTCTTGATTAGAAAGATAAAAATAATAATAGTATGCTCATTGTATTTGGTGCACTCAGCTAACTAACAAGTACGACGAGTAAGTAAGAGGAACCTTTTTGAATGACAGGTGGAGGGAGGCCAGTGGTATCCATCATGCCTGCTCCTGCTGTGACACAGACTGCAGGGCAGGCACAAAGAGCAGCCTGACTGTAAAGGGTAAGCAGCAACACACTCACTCACATAAAATTTACACAAATAAATATTTTTCTCAGTTCCAATATGAAAATCGATACAAATATTAAGGTTGATGTCACACTGTTTATCTGTTGAAGGTACAAAGTGGGAACAGGAAATGGCTGTTGGACCAATCACAGTAAAGGAGAAACCTCTAAGATGAAAAAGGACTTTATTCAATAATAAAGGTCTTTTACACTAATTAGGCCCAAGTTTGTGTCCTTGGTTTGTTTTAAGATTGGAATTAAATCAAAAAAAATGGAAAACTTGTAGGAAACTTGTTTTGTTTTTGGGTTTTTTTGGGTTTTTTGAAATGTCATTTCTACTACGGAGCCAATTTTGAGTTTTAGCTTTTTGTTTGTTTAATTTAGGTGTGAATTCTTAGTTTTGTTCTAAGAGGAAATGCTGTTTCAGGATTAAACTGTTTATGAATATGAAATCTGGCAGTTTTAGTGTGAAAGAATTTGTTGGCCTGTACAGAGTCCTAAACCTTGTGGGAAGACTTTGTACTGTAGAAGAGTTGAAGCTATTGTAGCAGCAAAGAGTGGGCCTACATCATGGTAAATACTAGATTAAGAATCAAATGTCACTCTAGTTCATGTGCATGTGAGACGGATGACCAAATATTTTTGGCAATGCAGTGTATTTCAAATCATTCAGCAGTTACTGGTGCTGCATAGGGCCAGCTACTCTGCTCTTCCACCATTATCCATTTTGAATGACATCACCTGAGTAGACACAGCTGGGAAAGCCTTGTCGCCATGTATCAGAGAGGGTTGTTCTCCTGACCTACACCATCAACTTCACCCTCAAGCCACCTTTCCTCATCACTGCTTGAGCTGTGGGGACATCAGCATCCATCATGGGCCAGGGGGGAGCTACCTGTCTGAGTCATCAGTCTCTGCTTTCAGTTTCTCAGGGGAGAAGAGGATGGCTGCTGACTGACCTTAAACAAAGGTCAGGCTCAAAAGTCTTGAAATTTAAAGCTGATTTACTGAATTGACCAAATAACTTGATCTAAAAAAATATTGGTGAACTTTGTAGAAAATTTAGTTTACTTTAAAAAATGTTTAACTGATACAGCCCGATGAATTCTCAAATATCTTTGCTATTTCAATTTGTGACAACTTCACCTAATAAGCTAGTCAGTATTTACAATAAATGGTAAGCTACAGTCGAGCTACTAAATTTGCTCATCTTAAATTTATCGATAAATATCCTCCCTAACTAGGCTCAGTGATGTGTAAATCCTTACATGAATAAATGCCGAAAGCTACACTCTGCCATTTTCAGATCTTACAAAGCTGTCCAATGGACCAAAGGGGGACATTAATTTTGGACTTTTCCCTGTGTTTTGTCCTTAAAAATGAATTATATTATGAATCATCTGAGCCAAAAGACACACTGTGGAAGAGGGCCGGAGATTAATAACTAATGATTAAATGCAGAGTGGCATATAAACACAGTGAGTTTAAAAAATAAGAATAAAAAAGTGAAGAAGAAACACCCAGTGATTATGGGAACCCCCCAGCAGCATAGGCCTTTTACAGTGTAACTAAGGGATGATTCAGGGTCACTGATCCAGCCCTAACTATATACTTTTTCAAATAGTTTTAATCCTAGTTTGTAGATAGGGTGTCTGTTTCCCAAATCCAAACTGGGAGCTGGTTCCACAATGACAGACCTAGATGCTGAAGGCTCTGCCTCCCATTCTACTTTTGAATACCCTCAGAATTAAACCAGTAAACCAGCAGTCTGTGAGCGAAGTGCTCTGATGGGGTGATATGGTACTAGAAGATCATTAAGATGAGATGGGGCCTGATTATTCAAGACCTTGTGAGGAGAAGAATATTTAATTAGATACCGGATTTAACAGAGAGCCAAAGAAGAGAAGCCAACATTGGAAAAGCATGCTTTCACTGTGTAGTCCCCATCAGTACTCTTGGTGCAGCATTGTAGATCAGCTAAAGACTTTTCAGGAACTTTTTCTCTATTATAGGACATCCTAATAATCATAAATTGCAGTAGTCCAGCCTAGAAGTAATAAATGCATGAATCACTCTAAGACAGGATATTTCTCATTTTAGAGATATTGCACAAATGGAATCAGAATCAGAATACTTTATTGATCCCTAGGGGAAATTATTTTTTATCATTATAAGCAGTTCTACATGTTTGTGTAATATGTGCATTGCAGAACAAATCTTGGTCAAAAAATAATTTTGAAAATAATTACTGAAGTTCACTCAGAAAGATCAATTGGATAAAATTAGTGTAAAATAAATATTAATGATACTGGAAGTAGCTGTACATGTTATATCTGTGAGATGATTATGAGTATTTTTTTCTGTAATGTCTAAATCTTTATTTGTGAAAAATTCATGAAGTTTTTACTGGTTAACGCTAAAGGAATGGTTGTCTCAACAGTGCTCTGACTTTTTGTCAAACTGGCTACAGTGCTGAAGAGAAACCTGGGGTTCAATCCGTGATGGTGTGTGTGTGTGTGTGTCTTGTTTTAAATAAAGATGCAAACTTTTTTTTTCAGGCTAAATGATAGTATTCTAAATGAGTGAGATGCCACTTTCTTCTCCAGCTTATGAGTTGTCTGTTTTAAGGTTCACATTATACCAGGGAGTCGAGTGACTCTGATCGGAGTCTTGCTTTTTCAGGAGCTACACTACAGTCATATGGAGTGAAGATGTGAAATTATTAACAAGACAATCGGCCTCTGTGGGAGTAGCTTTCAGGTCGCTGCTCTGTACTGTGTTGGCACATGGCATTGAAGCAGATGGACAGTGGATGAATTATATACTTAAATTTACACCTTTAATGAATAGTATTCCTATTCCCCTTTTCTTTAATTTTGTGTTTTGTGCATTTTTTTTTAACAGTGGATCCAAGCACCTCAAATAAATAAATGAATAATGTTGTTCTTATTTATCCATTTTCTGATTTTATTATATATTTTTATTTATTTTCATTTATGGGACAAAGTCTATATGGGCTGCCAGTTTTTTTGTTTGTTTGTTTTTGTTTATTATTTATTTTATTTTATTTTATTATTTTTTTGGGGGGGGGGGTTACATTTAAGATTTCTTATAGGGTGACCTGAAGGGCCCATGTTAATTATTTTCTTTCACATACCACATCATACTTAACCTTTTTTAAGGAAGAAGGGAACCTTTTTTGCCTTTTTTGTAACAAGATCAAATCAGGTTGCATATGACAGACAAACTCCGTTTGAGTTTGAAACCCTTGTTTAAAGCTCATACCAAAACAGGTTTTGAAAAAGGATCAAATATGCAATTAAGAATGATTGTTACTTCATCTTGTATTTTGTTTTCCTCGTAGCTTTAGCTGTGCTGGCATTACTTATTTTGTGGTGTTTAGTTTCTTTGTTTGTTTGAACAAAAAAAGAAAGAAATGTAGTGTTTGTGAAGATGGAGATGGTAAGTAACCTTAAACCGTGACAGCAGCGCCCCCTGCTGTTGCTGAGTGAGGTTGTCTGGTTTGCTTTAAAAATGGAAGAACAAACTCTCTAATTTTGGCAACGTTATGTTTTGGAAAAAACATAAAGTCCGAATATACTAGGGGTGGGGCGTTGTTTTGTTGACGTTTGATTTTTGTTTCTCTGTTTGTTTTGTTGTTTTGTTATTTGTTTGTTATACACAGGTTTAAAGTGGGATAAATTATGCCATCTAAAGAGGTGGAGTTAAAGCAGGGGCAGGGGAACTCCAGTCCTCATGGGGCGGTGTCCTGCAGGTTTTAGATGTGTCCTTGATCCAACACAGCTGATTTAAATGGCTAAACTACCTCCTCAACATGTCTTGAAGTTCTCCAGAGGCCTGGAGTTCGTTCTCTCATGTTTGCATGGGTTCTTTCTCTGCCTTCCTCCCACAATCCAAAGACATGCAGTTAATGGGGTTAAGTTAAAATGGTAATTCCAAATTGGCCATAGGTGTGAATGTGAGTGTCAATGGTTGCCTGTCTCCATGCCCTACGACAGACGGGCCACCTGTCCAGGGTGTACCCTGCCTCTCGCTGGGTAGGCTCCAGCCCTCTTGCGACCCTAACAATGATAAGCAGAAGAGAATTAATGGATTTCCACTTTTTTTCCCCCTAGTGGCCCTAATCCTCTTCCATAACTTTGAGCCATGCCCAAGTATTCAGCAATTTAAATCGTGGATCAAAACAAACAAACATGTTGTTCGTGAAGTATACAATGAAGGAATGGTTATAATGACATTCGTGGGTGTTCACACAGATAATATTCATTTGATTTCATAACATGAGTTTATTTTCTTTTCCTTGTGTTTAATATGTAAAGAAATTAAATATAAAATGATTATCTGTACACTTAAATTTCACTTTGCTTTTTTGTAACTTGTTAGCATACCAGTTTGACCATAAGACCGTGAGATTTAAAAAAACAAAACCAAACAAAACCGTAATCCTGACAGATTTCATATTTTTAAGACTGGAGAGGTGTGTTGTAATATACTTTTACTGAGTGACAAATGAAATAGTGAATTAATCTTATTTGTTAATTTTTAGTTAATTTTTATGTTGTTTATATCAGCTTCATTAATTGTTTCGCACTTCGTCCTGAAAAACAATCAAAATAGAGTCAAGGTTTCCAGGAAGGTTTAACTTAGAGCATCTAAACTGTATATTCAATTTGGACATTTCAATGCCAAAATATTTGAATTACGAAACACAGAGATCGGGTTTTCTGAAGGCACCTGAATGCACCACAAAGCCCCTCCTATATCCGGTGAGAAACCGCTATCAGCCAGAAAATATTACCGACCTGGAGTCCGTTACATGGGTATACATTAACAGAAATCCCCGTTGTTTAAAAAAGTACTTATTTTCGAGGTTCGGGGCCTCTAAGGGAAACTCACAGACAACATGCCCGGGGAAAGGTAACCGTACTCGCAGTGCTGCTGCCTCCTCATCCGGCTAAAGGACGGAGCAAGACGGCTAGAAGCCAATGGAGAGGCCGGGTAGGCTGCTGCTGCAGTCGGAGCTCCGCGTCAGAAATGCCGCGTACGATGTAAGCCTGAGCCGGTCACTGCTCATCTGGAAGAGACGGGCCTCTAGTCCCGTGTACCACCCGTTCAGACCCAGTAAGATCCGTGATTAATGTGTCTGCATGCCTTTGTCTATGTGTCTTAATATATCTCTCTGTTGGCCTTTAAGCGCACCGCGACATCCTGTGTGATAAACAAAGAACTCAGAGAAAACGTGAAAGGGGACACACAGCAGTGTTTAGACCTGTGGATATCATGCAGTTAACTTTCAGCTCTGAACACAATGTATCCGGACTGTAGGACCATATGAGATATGATACATCCGGTTACATAACACTCATCATCCAGTCTGACAGTGGAGGTCACTGAGGCTGCAAGCTGCAGGGACGAACAAACACACCAAACCTCATGAATATTTTATTATATTTAGAATATTTTAACCACAAACAACATAATGAAAAATCACAGTTTTTCAAGTAGCAGAGGGTTGAATGATTTATTTATTCAGTAGACGTGCTTTTGTTTGTGAGTCATTGTGTCCAGCTGACGAAGGGCAATTGCACCATTCACTTTATTTTAAATCCGTTTTGGACACGTCCACTTCCTTAAAAACATATCATGCTATGTTTTAATGGAACTGGCTACTTGATGTTTTGCTGTAAAATCTGTAACATTTTTCGTCTGAAAGCTATGGGATTGTCACATAGGAAGTTCATCGAATACAGAGACTTGTTTACAGTTTCCACAACAAGATTTTAAAGAAGGATACTGCACTTAAATGCCACAGCAGTATCAAAAAGAGTACTCAAAGTAAGTACAAAATCTCCAGATGTGAAAGCGAGCCCCCTACTCACATTTCTCTCACACCGTCAGTCCCAAATTAACTGGTTTACATATGAACCAGTGTGTGTTGAATAACATGGTCACACTGAGTTTGTGTTAAAGGTTACTGGCTAACCTCATGTACTTAATTACTTCTCTGTTGTTGATTTGTGACTGTAACATATTACGAATCGATCACCCGACCATTGTGTTGTCGTTTGAAATGTAGATGTACCCTTCAGTGTGAGCACAACAAATAAATTTAAAAAAACAAAATAATGTTTCATAAACAAAGGTTTTATAGTTTTATATTTCTTAATACTTTATTTCAAATTTAACATTATCAGTGACATATTCAAATCAGCATAACTGTAAAGCTGGATGGATCTTGCTAACCGTCTGATATGCATCACTGCCCGGGTCAGGGATGTAATCATTGCTTTATGTTATAAATACCATGGAGTCAGGACAGACTGTTTTACAGTCATCAGAATGTGGTATTTGTCTGCTCACACAAACCTTTTGTAGTGTAAACCTGTATCATTGAACATAGCAAAGATTGATAATATGTATTATTCGTGGACAGTCACATTGTCTAATACATGAACACATTAATGATGAATCATTTGAGATGATCATGGTAAACAGAAGTGTTTTAGTCTCTGTTAGAATCCAGTTAAAACCTCAGTAGACACTACCACAGTCATTCACCTCAATATTTCTTAACATAATCCTGAGTTTTATTTTATTTTGGGAGTTAAAATATTAAAATAAGCCAAATTTGTGGTTTGCATTTGTTGTTGTTAACCTCCCTGTGTACTCTGTGTTAAGGTTTCAGTGTGATAGTCTACATGTTTTTGCCATTTACTGCCACTTGGGGGCAGTAAACTACTGTAATGTTCATAACTATT